TTTTCTGTTTGGAAAGCTCTGCACAGCCTGCTGCCCCCCCCCCCCCCAACTCGAGGACTCACATAAGCAGGGACTGCAGCCCATTTGACAGCATTACCTAAGGCCATGGCTGGTTAGCGTATCCGCAGCCCTGTCTAACCCCTTACTTCACTCTGACCTTCTAACATACCATATAAACAGCACCATTCTGGGTAGTGGTTATCATCTGTGACTAGGACATAAGCTTCGGGAAGGTGAGACTTGTATCTCTCCCACTGATGGATATCAAATATTTACAATAGAGCCTGGCTTGTTAAAGAGGCCCTGCATCTATCCACTGAATAAAGGAGAAAGAAAACCTGCTGTTCTCTCTCTGCAGGAAACTGCAAATGACTACCTTGTAGGCAGGGCCCATGCTTCCCAGCCCACAGCTCAAGGCAGAGTGAAGGATGGTGGTGCCACTCCTACCTCTGACATGGGTCTAACGGTTACTTTCCTGGGCATTCCTAGGAGTCATCTCGATGGCTTTCGTGCCAGTCTGTTGAAATCATTCAATTCTACTTAGAGATGAAACTAGAGCAAAACATGAGTAGACAGAGTAGAGAAGGCTTTTGTCTCCTGTGCGTGGCAAATACAGGGGAAGGGGTCTATCTGCCGGTGTGGAGCCCTGCCTCACCCTGGGCCTTGCATCAGCTTCCCTCCTGGAGCTGGGGGATTTTACTGCCCCCTGGGCAGACTCTGAAGTAGCAGCCTTTACAAGCCCTTGGTCCCGGGGTCCAGGTTCTTACCTGCACGTTCCTGTTCAGGCTGACGGCAGGAAAGAAGAGGCCTTCCACGTTCTCAAACGCTATGGGGCCTTGCTGCTCATTGTTGATAAAGAACGTTAACGTCTTCCTGTTCAAGTCGAGCAGGACCCCGATGGTGGCTCCTTTTGTGATCCCTCCTTCAGTTCTGTGGGAAAGGGGAAAAAAACAGAGTCTCATCTGCTTGCTGGCATTCTGAAGGTCTCTCCATGTTTGGTTTGTTGAACCATTCTCTATTTTATCTTTGCTTTTGTTTTTGCTTTTCAAGTACTGGGGCTTCACGGATGATAGGCCACTGGGTTTTACACCCAGCCCTCTTTTTTTACTTTTTACTTGGGTCTTTCCAAATAGCCCAGGCTAGCCTTGTTTCACCACAGCGCAGGAAAGGCTTAGACTAGCAATCCTCCTGCCTCTACCTCCCAAGAAGTGGTTATAGGCCTGTCCCACCAGGCCCAACCAAACCAGAATATTGTAACCTATTTACATCTTCTTTCCTTGCTCAGCCTTTTTATATAGTTTTGCTCTAAGTACCTTTTTCACATACAACTTTGAAGCATTAGATACACCATTTACTATTTATATATACTGTGTATCTGTGCTTTATGTATGAAAATGTTTTACAGGTTTTTTTTTTTTTTTGCTCCCTCAAATTCCCCCTCCCCTGCAGAGAGAGCCATCCCTCATGGTAGCCCCGTGGTTACTGTGCCTTGCTGAGAGCAAACTGGTACATATGGAATCTCTGTTGCCGAGCTACAGCAGAATAAAACAATGCTGGAGACTGGGCCAGAGAAGCCTCTCGGCTACCACAGTGCAGCAGCTGGGCTGTGCACCTTTCATATGCTGTGTGAATTTAACAGCATTTGATACAAAATGGCTTCATCTGAAAGTCAAAATAAAGAAGCGCTTAGGTCAGATCCAGAACATATGCCAAAGATGCTGGACTCGAAGCCTTCCGCTCTCCATGTAGTGAAACCCACTCTGGAAAGATGCTAATCTTAAACGAAGACATTAGAGTCTCTCTGTAAAATGGCAGCATTGGAGGAGATGTTTCCCTGAGACATAATTGCACTGCAGGGAATGTAGTGATTTCCAGAGACCCAAGTACAAACATCATCTTACAAAGAACCATGTCTTCTGCTGCAACTGATGGCGTCAGAGAATGACATTAGGTAGGGATGGCCAGGCCTGTCTTCCCTCCTCAGTTTGAGATCCAGCAAAACTGAACTTTGTCTCAGCAGAGCACAGACATTTAATAAGCACCACCCCTTTCTCCTGCATGCAGAGGACACACTGGACACTGGCACAGACAGGCCAACAAACTGAATCTTGCTCTTTGCAAGTTGGTCAGCAACAGCACAAGTGGCATGCAGGTTGCATGCAGGCAGACGTGTTCAGCTTCTGGAATGTGCTTTCCTGCATCGTGTGATGGCGGTGCTCTTATTTACCCCTTCATCCCCAAATCGAGAGGCTAAATGCCGGTGCACGGGTGATGGCATCAGGAATCTAGTGACAGAGCCCTCCAGAATGTGAATCACTGAAGATAACTGCTATCTATATCCACTTGGGTTTGATACCAAGATGAAATGCTCTGTGTGCTTGCTTCAAGGGACAAGACATCTGGGAATGGAGCTGGACAGAGAATGTCTGAGGGCCGGGAAGCGCTAGGAGTCTACTGGCTAGCAAAGGGGCAGGGGCAGGCTGACAGGAGAAGCTGAAATAGTGAAGTCATTATTCTGCCCCTGCTGTGCCTGCTTTTCCTTTGATCTCACTGAACATAACTGGATTTTTATTCCAGAGACACCAAAGAGAAAGCACCCTGGAGGGAATGTTTGAGAATAAGAGAGACCAGTGTCATGAAAAGACACTTTTGGCCCAGAAAATATGAGTAAAACACATTCGAAGAGAACACTAACAAACGAAAAGGGAAGTTATAAGATGTATTAAGTTAAAGCTGTCTATTTTTTGGTGCTAAGAGGACATTACTTAAGGACATAACTCTATTCCCTTTCTTCAGTAAACCGGGTGCTGTAATTCACACAATTACAAGGGAGCTCTTTTGGCTTAAAGCTGTCGGGAATGGCATCCCTAACACCAAGTTTAGCTAGTGGCGTCTATTCTGAGAAGCAGTTTTGGTAGGAATGACAACAATGACTCCCATTTCTAGCCACTTCCAATGTGAGGTATTTTTGCATATCTCAGGTAGTCTTCAGACTTCTCCTGTATGGAAGCGTATTATTATATGAATCTGAAGATCTGAAGGATTGACAAACTGGGATTCAGAAAGAAAAAAAACAAAAACAAACAAACAAACAGAGTACCTTGGCCCCAGACAATTTCCTGGTAAGTTCTAGGTCTGGATTTTCGAGCCCTGGGTTGTTTGTCTATAACAGATATGCCCAGGTGTTGTCTCCTGTGACCTGGGTGGAACTTAACAATGAAGGGCCAACGGGAGGGCACACAATCCTGTCCCTATGCAACGTGGAAAACAGTGGCGTGGACTGGGCTGAGAGATGACTCAGCACCGAGCCTCATGCTCCGGGAAGACCACCTGTCCTATTTCTGAATGCTGTCTATGCAACAGGCTGTTGAACTAGGCTCTCCCTCTCGAGCCCAAGCCACCATGAAGAAGGCTTGGTGTGGGGCTGCAGGGTACCTGTTGGTGTGCGAGTTGTTGTGCATGAACCAGCTCCGGTTATTGTCCACATACATTGCCCAAGCTTTGTCGTCCTTTCCTAACATCACATCCTTCATCACGTCAATGCGAGCCACGCCGAACGCCGGGTCGGGGTGGTTGTCATAGCGGTCTACCGTTAGCTCCCAGTAGTGGACACCCTTCGAGAAGCCGGTTTTCCCCAGCACCACCCGGTCATCGTAGCTACTGCACGTCACCGTCAGGTTGTCATTGGAGAAGATGATGTCGGAGTGTGCCGAGCCGGGGTCAAAGGCAAACCAAGCCACTGGGAACAACAGAAGGGGAGTGAGTCGTTAGTGGCGCCTGAGCATTGTGGCGTGCTTCTGGGCGGTGTGGCAAGTGGCGTTGCGGTTCTCAAGCTGGCCATGCAGGAGGGAGGTGTTTGGGGCCAGAGTCACCCTACGTGAGCAGATGGGGCACATCCTGGGAGCTGATACTCTGCTCCAGGAACGGACCAAGGACAGACGACTGATGGAGCAGGGGTTACCTGGCTTAGACTGCACTCCCAGCCAGCTGATCCGGGAGTGAGGTCATCAAGTGCCTTCACCTGGTGACTGGCAGAACAGTGCACCAGAGACATAGAGGGTGAGGGGTGTGCTAGGGATGCCCGTGTAACCCTGAGGCAGGGAGGTTAGATCTATAGTGCTGGATAGAGGAGGGATAAAGCACATCACGTGAAATCAGGGAGTGCGCTGAGGCAGAAGTGCTGGAAACTCCCCCCCACTCTTGTACCTGCTCAGAAGCCTTGACGCTACAAAGTAACATAAACTAAATTTTCACGTGCGATGGGGACTTGGGTGTAGGACAGATCGCCTCCTTTACACTGCAGAGGTCAGCGTTACTCCTAAAACTGGCCTGTGATAGACATCACAGAAGCAGTTTAGACGCTGGGTGCAGAGAGGGCGAGGTTTTGCTACACACGGCTGCGCCCCAGTTTCTACATGTGGCCCACATGGAACAGCCTGCAGAGGTGAGGGTGCTCTGTGCTGAGCCTGCAGCCACCTCCCAGGAAGCAGCACTTCCTCTCTGCTCTCTGTGGGAGAATAATGTTATTCCATACCTGCCAGCAGCTTCTTAATATCAACTGGTGTCATCCCAGCGAAAGGCATGGGGGAGAAAAATAGGAAGCAAAAGTGACATCGATAAGAAAGCATGTTTCTTTTGATAGACTAATACCAACAAGGGCTCCATTGAGAACATTACATACACAGTAACAGCCGGCCTGCCTCGTGCTCTACTGACATCCAGGGCTCATAAAGAATGTTTTGCATTAATGCAGAAGAAAAGGGGGCGGGAGTTGAGGAATAACATTAAAAAAAAAAAAAAGACAGGCGTTTTTTTTCTCTAAGAAATTGAGAAACTTATAATGGAGTTAGAATGACATTTGGAGAATTTTATTGACAGGACAAAGCCACCACAATTTATTTTGCAAGGGAAATTGAGCATAGCGGTCACACAGGCAGAAGGTAACAATTACAGTAGGTATACTTGCCTAATTGAGAGTAAGATGTAGACTGTGTCTCAAAATTGCATCCTATAAAAAGATACTACACATCAAGGCTATGAAGTGACAATCAGGTTGATAAAAATTATTTGCATTCATTTAGAAAGCACCAACTGAATGTAGTCTCCAAGAGGCCTGATTCATGAAAAATGACAAAAACAAACAAAAAAACAAACCAAAGCCCTTTTTATGTTTCTTTTCTTTGCTGGGTATAAATTGCTTTTGTGCTCTTTTTCAAACAAAAAGTTCATCTTTTTTACATCCTGACAAAAGCTTTGTCCAATTGACCGTAAATATTGCAGTTCGAATTCTCATTATCTTCCCAGTAACACTTTTTTTACAGTAACACTTGCAAACTGAGGAGGTCGACTCTTTTTTAAAGATGGGGAAAAAACGCAACAGAAGTGGAAGAAATCTCCAGGCAGGGATAAGTCTGCTCTGTGTCAACAGTTTTCGGATTGCCCTCATTTGCCGGGATGAGTCCAAGGCAAATGTAAGGTGTGTGGGGTCTAGTGCACTTGAACAATTCATAGTTAACAATGGCATGAACCGAGTGTTATAAAAACAAAGATACTTGTTTTCCTTCTCAGCTTGCTTTGCTACAACAGCTCTTCTCACCAGAGGGATGGGAGGAAGGCTGATAGGAATCTTTGGGGAAAAGAATCACGTAGGTTTTGTTTTGTTTTTTTTCTAATTTAGTATTGTCTTTATAAGCTCATTTCTAAAATAATTGGAGGGATAAGGTGCTGACTTGAAAGAACTGTATAAGAATCAAGAAGGCAGCTTGATATGAAAGAGGACCTAGTTAGCAAATTTAAATATCATGACCTTCTTCTTGCTTAGGTTACTTTATTCTGGGATACATTCATTTTCTTCCAGCTCATGGTTGGTTTTTATGTTTAATTTCTGCCAACTGTCTTTTCGATTCTCCATTATGAACTGGAGCACAGTAAGTATGGAATATAAAGAATTTTAAATTTCATTTCCAGGTTTGGAAGTAAATTTGTGAAATCTAAATAGGGCTTTCAAGATTTTTTAAATGAATCATGCCTTGTGGAGTCTTTTAAAAAACAAATATTCTGAACACTTTTCTCACTAACTTAAACACAACATCATACATTTAAGATTCAATGATACAACTAGAACAAGGCTATTAAATACAACTACCAAACACCCAGACCCCACATTTCATTTTATTCTGGAGACAATATACATTACAAAGACTGTAACAGTATTTTGATACATTAGAGACAAGCAAAGGGCTCCATACAAAGCATGGGGAAAAGCCAGGTGTGCACAGAAAAAACAAGGAGAAATGTAAAACACAAGAAAAAAAATGTCACTTTTCAAGGGAGCTTGAAGTCCCTGCATCCTTTTTGCACTGTCATGCTGTGGCCTTCTTCATTCCAGGATGTGGGATGAGCCAAAGGAACAAAATAAAACCCAAAAGAAATGCTTGGAAACGTGAGATGTGCGTCATGTGTATCCATGATTACAATATAGTCCTGAAGAGATCAGACAGGTCTGCAGTTTAGGAATTTGAAGATTGTTTGCTAGACAGAGCTCACTGCAAAGTAACAGGAGTCTAGCTTCCCTGGAATCATAAGCCCTGCTGCATCTTGGCTGTGAGCAGCTTCCTGAGGCCACATATTTTGACTACAGGATCTCTGGCCATTGGCATCATGACTGAATGGTTTTTAATTTAACTAACAGTGGTCCCTGCGCTGTGCTAGGAAAGTGACCTGCTGTAAGCCTGCAGTCCTACCGGTACCATGCTCTGCAGGCTCTGCTTTTCCTGCTTTGTAGGATGTATTCTGCTGTTGGCATGCTTTTGCTTTTAGTTTTGTTTTTATTGGTAAAGATCTCTTGAGTCTATGTTTAATCAGACCACCCCAGGCTGGATGTGCTGATCCAGACTCCCAGACACAGCTGGTTTCCTGGATGCAGAAGGCCGCAAACCTCCACATCATTGCCACGGCCTCTACTTAGCCAATACCTGTGCCGTGCTATGCCACTACATGTGATGACCAGGTTTCCCATGGTGGTACCAGTTGATGCAAAAAGAACAACTTCCTGCATCCTGTCCCAATGCCATCACACATGGACCACAGTCCTGGGGTGGGTTGTTCCACCACACAAACAAGAATGCCAGGAAAGGAAGCTCCCTCAGCCAGATGCTCCCCACACTGGAAGCCACAGACACAGATGCTGGTCATCCCTCACCACGCACACAAATGGCAAGAACAACACAGGCGTTTCAGAGATGCCTCCAAGACACAGAGATGAAGAGAAAGATCTGACAGCTCAGCTCACCCGGTGTATTGAGAGACTGTAAAGAAGAATGCAAGCTCAGCTGGTGGGGTGAGGATCGGAAATCAAAGTAGGATCTCCCGGGGAAGCTGGGTTGTAGATTAAGGGTGGAGGAGAAAGGGCTCATTCTACGGAGCGGCAGTCTTTCCGAAGGCACTGGAAAAGGGAGGGTCTGTTCTTCTGAATCTGTGTCTAAATGCAAGATCAACGCAAACCGGAGATCAGAAACCTGCTGGCTGCCCATGCCAGGCTCCCAAAGACCTAAGCAAGCAAGCAAGTGTTCACACAACTCTTCCTCAGCCCTGGGGCACCACCCATAGGCATCAGCAAGATGGTGTGTCTGAGGCTGGGTTTCCTAGTAGCTCAGGACCTCAGACAACTGTGCCAACACCACTGACAATCATTTTGTAGTTCCCTCTAATTTTTAGTAATAGAAAAGCACAAAGGATTTCCTTTGCCAAGGGAAATGAACTGAGTGAGACTTGTAGGTACCTTTTGCCCATTGATAAGAAAATCAACACCTCTTTTTGCGTCAGCTGTTCCTCAGATTACTGTGCATAACAATGGTTTCTTACAGGGTTTCTGTTTGGGAGGTGATAACTTTTCGAAACTGTGGAATGTTTCTCTTTTCCTCCACCAGTGTGTCTCCCCCATTTCCAGAGGGAAGAGATTATTTTAATCCTAGGACACTCAAGACGTGATCTTTGCATAGTGGGAGAGACACAGCGCTCTCTAGAAAGACAGGCCTGCCGGGCACCTGGGGAATAAGACCTCTCTCCGCTTCTGAGTTATTTCCTATGGACCTTATTTAACTCTCTTGTAACGGACAGAATTCAGGCAGAGGGAAGGCGCAGAGGTATCAAGTGTCTGTTTCTTTTCAGAAAGGCCTGGCCTGACTGTCACTATTGTACTCAAGTGAGGATTCACCAGCTGGATTTTTTGTTTATTTGTGCCCTACTGCTTCATCTGATGTACACATGGATGCCAGAGGAGGGCATCAGGTCCCATTATAGATGGTTGTGAGCCACCGTGTGGGTGCTGGGAATTGAACTCAGGTCCCCTGGAAGAGCAGCCAGTTTTCTTAGCCACTGAGCCATCTCTCCAGCCCCTTAAGCTCAGTTTAATAGTGAAAACACCAGAAATGCAGATGGCATATATCAGGCTCCCGACTCCCAAGGAAACATTTTCTCATTGGAAAGAGAATTTTGTTATGGTGGTCAGTGGGCATTCCTGGGGCTTGTTTAATCCTGTTTGCAGCTTGTGTTTGTACGGCCCCTTCTAATCAAAACACTGCACTGTACAGGTTCAGGCAAAAGTGTGTGTGTGTGTGTGTGTGTGTGTGTGCTCACGTGTGTGTATGTGAGCGAGTTCATGAGTGCATGTGTGTGAGTGTGTGTAGTGAGAAAGTGCATGCATGTGTGTGCATATGCATGTATGAGTGCACATTAGAGCCTGTGTGCGTGTGCACGTGCATGTGTGAGTGTGTGTGTGTGTGTGTGTGTGTGTGTGTGTGTGTGTGGGTGTGAATGCATGTGCATCTATGTAGAGCATAATCCTATCTGGAGACCTCATTGGAAACGCTACCACAAGTGTCAATACTGCAAGGAAGAAGCCTCATTTTCATTTCTGGACTCACAACATGTTAGCTTTTCAGACTTTAGTCTTATCCCGAGGGAAGATTTGATTTTTCTATAAACCAAATAATCAGAGAAAAGGCTATGAGGCTAAAGCTTTATAGCCCCAAGAATGATAATATACTGAAGGTTCCATTTAAACTTCGTATGGTTGTGGTGGCTTGGCATGTATGACCATTTCTTTGCTCAGATATAATAAAACTACTATTCTTCGCATCTATTTGTGTGTGTGTTTGTGTGTGTGTATGCACACTCAAGAGCCACAGCACATGTGCAGAGTTAAGAGGACAACCTGCAGGAGTTAGTTGTCTGTTCCGTGGTTTCTAGGGACTGAACTCTGATCACTAGAGTTGATGGTAGGTGCTGCTATCTGCTGGGCTGTCTCACTGGCCCCACAGTAGTTCTGTTATAATCAACTTTAAAATGTAACTAACTTATATTTCAAAAGATCTGAAATGTAGCCACACAGAGCCCACCCTACCTTTTTAGTTTGAGAAGCCACTATATTGATATTGAAACAGAATAGTGTTTCAAATTCACAAGAATTTGCTTGAAAATGTATCTTTTACCGGATGTGGCAATCAATTCATTATACTGCAGATACTATTGCCTTGAAAATTAAGGAAGATGATGTTTGGAGAATACTGAATCTCTAAGCAGTGATCTGAACACCCATAGAGAGATGTGTACCGTACCCATAATTTGAGGATCAGACCCAAACCTGTCAGAAGGATCACTCACCCTTTTTATTCTCAGTGCCAGGAACTCTGGGGGTGGGGGCCAAGTGTAGCCACGGATATTCCTGGGACTAGTTACTGAGGAATAGGACAGGTTTTTTTTTTCCTATTTTTTATGTATATTGATTGATTGCCTATCAATAAGCCCTATTTTCCTTACTCTTGGACTTCCCCTCTTCCCAGACAGAGGTTCAACAATGGTCCTGTCTCTGTTTTTGACCTGTGACCTTTCATGCCCCACCATGTGGGCTTTTTCCCCATTTTTCTCCCCAAACAAAATGAAGCAAAACAAACCCCACAAAATCAAACCTACCTTGCTATGAGGATTTTCCAAACAAATTAGAGGAGAGAGAAAAAGATAATTTCCACCCAATTCCAGTCAGACTAACAGGCGAGCCTCCCTCTAGGCCTCTCTTACAGGCACACAGTGCGTTTGAGCAGATGTCTACAGGGCATTTAGGCCACTCATTATGATTTTACACCAAAGGAGTCTTGGCGGTTAGACACTTAGAACCATCTGAGGAGGAGCCATCAAGCTTCCCCTAGAGCATTCCTCTCCAGTCAGCACCTTGCATGTGGGGTTACTGATTTTACGATGCAGATAAACTTCGTTTAGGCTCCACTCACCAGGTACTGTCCAGGGCCAAATGGAACAGACCGCTAGTTCTGCAAGCACTCGACATCAGTCATCAGTCCTCATTAAATCATTCCAGTTTTGAGCTAAATTGATATCTGTCACCACTTTCACACACACAGACTGTCTTTCTGGTCATGCTCCTCTGGACAAGTTCAAAGGCATAAGTACAGCATGGCAAGATGGAGAATGGCATTATCACCTCCTGGTTTAGCCAAAGCATCTTTAACTCACAGTGAACATAAAGCACAGCTGCCCCCGTGTGTATCCAGTGTTATACTTTGAGATACAGGAAGAAACAAGTCCTGCTTCCTCCCCTCCTCTTTCAAACACAAACTGTTGAGCTCAATAGCCCTCAGAGAAGGCTCCTCTTCAGAGAAGGCTCCTCGGTTGTTAACATTCTATTCCCAAGTTGAGGAAAAATGAGGTGTTTAGTTTTGTTTTCCAGAATACGGGATAGGAAGCTAACCTTCCCGATAATCATCATCATGGTTATCTGACAATCACCAGGAGAAGACAGGGGGCATCTTAGGGTGTTGCTACTACCTCATCATGCGTATCACATCCATAGTCCTGCCTGGATGAACTTTACTGAGTAAGAGCAGTTTAGCGGGGAAGAACGGCTGGAGGTGGAGATTGCACTCGTGTGTGTGTGTGTGTGTGTGTGTGTGTGTGTGTGTGTGTGTGTGTCCTAGAGGCAAGAAGACAACTGTAGATCGCATTCCTCAGGCACCACCCGCCTTGTATTTTGAGGCAAGGTCTCTCATTGACTTGGAGTTTGCCCATTAGGCTAGTCTGGCCAGGTAGCCTATCTTTCTCTCCCTGGTGCTGGAATCACAAGCACTATCATCCAGCTTTTGTTCCCCCTTCCCCAACTTGGGTTCTGGATCAAATCAGGTACAGGGTAAGCACTTTACTGACTGATCCATCTCCTCGGCCTCAGTCGTATTGCTAAGTCCAGGAGGAGAACTGTATTCAAACGCAACGAGCCCATTCACACTGCCCATCAACTGTCAGGACTGCTGGTTTCCTCCTGTTCTTCCCTAGGCCTCTTTCCCTTCCCACTGGGCTCTGGAATGGAGACCCGGGTAATGGTGGGGGCCCTGCTCTAAAGGAGCAATGAAAATTTACCAAAACCAAGACCCACCAGGGACTGAGTGTGCTCTTTACTGACTCCTGGGATCAAGAAGAAAAGATCTAGGCGTAGCCTGTGTATGTCATCTCTACTTTATTTGTTCATTGTCTGACAATTACTCAAAGTGTTCAGCTATAATTGTCTGACATTTGGCTATAAAAATTAATAATCAAGAGAAAATGTATCAATCATTATCAATAAGTTTTATACTTTTGGGGGTAGCATTTTTTATTACTAAACATTTCTAAATATGTGAAAACTTAAAACATTAAGTATTAGAAGATGCAGAATAATTTGTACATGTAGATGATCCCATCGTTAAAATGTGTTGGTGTCTATGCCACGTGTGAAAATGCCCACAGAGGCCAGAAGAGGACACTAGATCCCATGAAGCCAGAGTTACAGGTGGTTGTGGGCAGCTTAACATGGGTTCTCGGAACTGGGGTCCTCTGCAAGGGCAGCAAATGTTCTTAAGCACTCAGTCATCTCTCTAGCCTGATAAATTGTGGTCTTTAATATGCTATTTGGGGACTCAAAGGGAAAGGGGGGAGCGACTGAAGCTTCTTATGCAACGTTCACTGATTCCTCTTCCACCGCCTCCTGGTGGAAGCCCTGGGTATCTTCCTGTCTGGCAGGCGCAGCTTTGAAACTGAGCAGCCATTGGGCCACAGCCTAAAGAGGAGCGATGCATTTCAGAGCACAGCAAAGGAGAGACACCACCCAGAGCTGCAGGAGCAGCATGAAGGCTGAGTGCAAATGGCTGCACTGTAAACCAGCTGTGAAATGCTGTGCTCTCTCTGCTCTCGTTGGGAAGGTTTCAAAAAGAGACAAGGAAATGCGTGAAGAAGGAGACTGTTTTCTCAAATGATCAATCAGGCAGCTAAAGTCACAATTATGTCCAACTGGTGTATAATTTATAACAAAAGGCGGCATCTTAAGCTTTCTTAAGAGTGGCGATAATTGCTGTTGAGTAGTAAGAAACAAATCTGTTTTGAAAACCTCCTTTAGAAAAGAATGAGCCGGCTTTTGGCATCCTGTGGATGGTGGCATAC